GATAATGAGCATATTTTTTCTGTAAAGCCACTTAATACTTTTTTTCTTATGGTTGGTATAAAGCAAGTTGTTGAATGATTGCAGATTCTAATAATTAGAGAGAGTCTTCTAAAATATTTTTTTTCCTTTTGACATATGGTTGGAAGACATAGAGTCACTTGATGTATTTATGAAGGCACGTGGAATTGTTGGCAAGTAGATATACAATGTATATGAAATCATTTGTGTATAGCAATTGTTTTGGGGGTCTTCCCTCAGCATGTCATCCTGCTAGGCTTGCTGATGAAGCTGCTGTTAGACTTTTTAGCCATCAAAGGGAATTATTGACTTGTTCTGGAGTATAGCTAAGTATTATGTCCTTGGAGTGTAAGCATATTACAGATGTAGACAGAGAGTGAAACTGAAAAAAATTCTAAAAGATAGAAATAACTACAAAAACTCACTAAATGAAAGGAGCAGTCAGGGGCATGTATGTTTGAAACATCAATACAATGACTAGTTTCCTTTAGTAGGAGTTAAGTAAGGTAATCAAAACCATTATGAGTCCTAGATATACAGGAAAATCCGAATATGTTTACTTGTGTAAAAAAATAAACAGATGTCAAGTCTTTGGGAAATCATAAATTTCACTGAGAACATTGTGACCTAGAAATACAGTATCTTCTTGAAAGAAACTGAATTTACGGTTACAAATTCTCCAACCAATATCTGTTTTTATGATAGCTTGACAAAAGGAGGGTCCTTGCTTTTATTCTTATTTGCCGTTATTTTTATATTTTTTATATTAAGAAAGAGGTTTGGAGGGGAAAATTACGTATCTAAGATGTTAGTACCTCCATGTTGGAGCTTATCCAGAACCTCAACAAATTTATGGAAATTTGAATCTTTTTAAAAATCACCACCATACTGAAATTTGAAAACCTCTCCCAGGTACCAGGGAAGCTGCTAGTACTTCCGGAGGGAATGAATGGCCGCCATCTTCCCAAGATGCTCCTGTAACCAGGAAGTTGGAGGAGCCTCCGAACTGGCCTCTCTCCACTGCAACCATGGAATTGCAGAAATTCTGCTCTCATTTTATTTAATATGCATATTTTTTACATAGCTAATCTGAAATGGAAACATTTTTATCCCTATACTCAAAACTGCTTTTGTTTTATCAGCTGACATTTTACAACTCATTAATTTATAATGCGGGTTTAATGCCTTTAAATGTTCCTGGGATAAAAAATTAAAGTGGCCAAGCTAGTTTGTATAAAGGCTGACTACAGTATGTTAATAATAATTATATAACAATGTTTTGTATTGGATAGCACATTCCATCAGAATATTTCAAAGTGGCATGGTCCCTTCTTCCTAGCATTCATTCATCTTGCAGCCCCAAGTGATAAAGTTATTCCCATTTTTAAATGGAGAAATCAAGACTCATGTATTTCAGTGACACATGTTCAAATTCAGAAGAAAATCTCTGAATTTGTCTTTGTCTTGTTGTACTTGTCACTAGGCCTCCGTTATTAAATAAGAAATTGAACCTTGAATTTAGTCCTATGATTTTTACCCATCCAAGGACAGAGGTAACAAGGTAACTGAGATTAAAAGTTTAAAAAAATAATTTAAAAAAACGTCAATGATAAATTCCCCCCAGACGGGCAAGAGTCACTGGATACAAATTATTGAGAAAGAGCTGCATCCTCTCCTCAGTAGCACATACTTGGAAATTGAAATGTGTGAGGAAGACGAGAAGGAATGAAGGCTAAGGTTCAGGAGAAAATATAGAAGGTCTTCCCAACACTTACCACATGTAAAGACATTCTAAGAAAGCGCCCCACAAGGCCTTTAATCCACTGGCTCAAGCATAAATGATCTCTAAGCATCTAAGCATAAGAGATTCAGGAACCAAATGATTCATAAAATTCCAAAATCTTTGTTTTTAAATATAGAATCTCATTCTGTTGCCCAGGCTGCAGTATAGTGGTATGATCCCAGCTCACTACAGCCTCCATCTCCCAAACTCAAACAATTCTCTCACCTCAGCCTCCTGAATAACTGGCACACAACACCATGCCTGAATAATTTTTTTTATTTCTTATAGAGATAGGGCCTTGCCCCGGCTGATCACAAACTTCTGACTTCAAGCAATTCTCCCTCTTTGGCATCCCAAAGTGTTAGGATTACAGGTGTGAGCCACCATGCCACTTACTTTAAACTTTAAGTCATATTACCAGCAGAGACTTTTTAAAAATGAGATTACATGTCTGTATCATGTCTAAACTGAAGGATTAGGCATGGCCTCTCCCACCATGGCCTTCCTACTTTAGGAAACATTTTCAAATAAATTTCTAAATGAAGGACCAACATGAAAATTGTGGCTGGCACAAGTTGAAATCTTTCTTTTTCCTCCTAGCCACCACACATTATAGCACCAGAGAAAGGATGACAGACACGGGAACAATGGTATTCATTGATTATACCAGTTAACATCACCTTGCATTTCCATGTTACTGTTTTATACATCACAGAGTGCCATTGCATGTGCAATTTTGTAGGCTCCTGTGACAACCTCATAAACAGGGAACCCATTATCCTGGTTTTTACTCATTTGTACCAAGTTTCCTTGGATGGTAGGCCAAGGTCACACAGCTGGTTACACATTGGTTCTGGGACAAGGCAAGTCTTCAAGCTTGTAATTCTGTGAACTGCCTCTTTATCTCTATTGTTTCCAAACTATTGCAGGAAACATGGGTGTATTGTTAGATTCTGGTAATTGATCAAATTGGTAGGCTTCTATAACTCAAATTAAGGGGATCCATGAAAGTAACAATCATCGAAACAATTTAAAATTAAGTAACAATCTCCATTTTTTGTGGCATGAAAATCCCAAAAAGTCCCAGGGATTTCCATCCCTTACTCTGGTCATGTGGGGTTTAAACTTAGATTGCATTTGACACTGGGAATTTGTATTATTATGTATGTTTTTGTTTGGCTATTGTATGCCTAAAGACGTGCTTTCTAGTACTGGCTTTGCTGCCAACTGGCTCTAAGGCCCTTGACAAGTCATTTGACCTCACTGTGCCTGTATTACCTCCTTTGTCAAGAGTTGACTTCAAGTGTCCTTCTGGTACTACAATTTTATTGATTATATTTCTCCAAATAAATTGTAAGCTTCCTGAGGTGAGAATGGCGCCTCCTTCTATCTTCTGGATTTGCCACATTGTGGGCATTTAATAAATGTTTGATAATGGCATTGCATGGCTTATTGGCACACTTAACTTGAGTAGAGTTATGGGAAAGTAATATTGACCACCTTATTAACAATTAGCTGTCTATAAGCTGCATATGTAATTTTCCTTTACATCAATGGAGCTTCTGTTTCTGGTGAAGATGAAGTATTGCCCCTTCACATCAGTTCTTTTGCATGTTAATACATTAGCAACTGATATTTTATTTGTACTATAACTGACAGAAGAATGTAGAAAAAGCATATAAGTAGGAAAAAGGGTTAGTAAGGTAACATTGTATAGGGCATTTTCAAAACAACAGTTCTGCTATTTCAAATGTCAAGCTAATTATCAGCAATGTTTAAATGCTATGATAGGCCGTTTTTGCAAATGCTGAAATTTTCCAGCAGGTATGGACATTATAAAAATGTCAAGTTTTGCTACTGTAGTATTACATGTCATCAGGACACAACAATCTGAAAATAAAAGTTATATGTATAGGCAAGGAAGATAAACCATTATCTGTTTTGCATATGACTGTAAAATTAATTGGCATAGTGATATAATTTAGAGTATTGTTTACTTGGAAGGAAGAATAGAGAGGATTTAATATAATGTAATCTGGTGAAGTGAAAATAATGCTCATTATAGATAAACTATAAAGCCTTTTAAATACAGGCTTTTAGTAATGCATATACAGATATATCTTTCCAGCACCATTTGCTGTAAAGCAAATTTAAGTATCAGCTTTATGCCCTTTGGTAACCCCATGTTATACATCCAGTTTTAGAGAAAATGAAACTTTAATATGATTCCACATAAAATGGTGAGCCGTGCCAATAATTCATATGCCCTTCATATGCAAATAGTTTTATCTTGTCCATCAATTATCATGTAAACATAGTATCACATGGCAAATTTCCCTGTAATACAGTACAGTACCTGGATATAATTATGGGTGCATTTTGCCAATGCAACTGTTACACAGAATTGTAATTAATTCCTCTGAAGACTACTGTGAGAGTTTTGGATACTGATGCTGTTTTTGGACATTTATTACTGCTCTTTAGTTGGCTTTTTGCTGTGCCTCAGAGACAGATGTAAAATTAGTGTCTATTTTGAGCCAGCAAACAGTACATCTTTCCTCTTGTTTATTGAATTGCAGAAAGGAATTCTTTGGGCTCCCACTTCTTTGTGGTTTTGAAGTAACCGTCTGTTTTTGTGCCAGCCATGTAGCTCCAATACATGTATAAAATTTTGCTGAGACTCATGCAAAGGGTGGCTTATTTGGCCTGTAAGTACTGAACAGAACTTTGCTACGTTATGTGGGAACTTCCACATTTTCAAATGCTGAATTAAAAAATAGGTATCATAAGTTCAGAAACAGACACTGGCCTAATATATTCTGCCCAATGACCCTCATTTAAAACAAGTATACGTTGGTTATTATACAACATCGAATCTCTTCTTTGCAAAGACAAAGCTACATTATTACAATCTCTTCTGCCAATGGTGATGATGGTGGGCAAAACATCAAAAGGGGTCCAAATGGGAAAATGAGCCTAATGTTATTTCATAATGTAAATAGGGCTAAACCCGTCAAGTATTGGCCATTCTATAGGAAGAATATTTTATGGAGAAAATTTCCACAGTACTTATACTAAGCAAATCTACTGACTAGACTTGAGAGAACATTTTAAAGGAAAATCCTGGAATTTTAAAGTGGGGAGATGGGGCAGGGATCAGGAAGTGCAAAGTCCATCTCAGGGCATTTAATTTTGAGTG